GCAAAGAATCATGAAGATAAACAAACAGTAGGGAAATGTAGTTACAAGCAAAACAATGTGAAACTGCTGAGATATGCGTTTAGCTTCTTGCTTACCTAGTTCTAAATCTCAGCAGTCTAGTGCTACAAATTTGTAGCAAACACAACAAAGCATATTGTACATAAGGGTCTATTTTCTAGTCTACACAGTTGGGATTAGTTTTATTTTTACTTTTTTGCCACCAATGTACTGAAATGATGCCCAGTGAATGAAATGACTTTATGTTAGAAGAATCTTAGTGTCTCAAAAGCTTTGTTATGATCAATTTGTATCTCATTTCACCTGAAGCTAACTATAGCTGTGCTGATATGGACATTTTTTAAAATATTACACATGAATGCTCCTTGACAGTTTGCACTGTGGTATTTTGATGTTTGATACACATAGTGTGTGTGTGTGTGTACACACACATATACATATATATACAGTATATACAGTATTTATACAGTATACAGTATTTATACAGTATATATATATTACATACACACATAGTACATATATTATATATATGTATACATACATTATATATATATATTATACATACATTAAAAGCACAACTATAATGATGTGGGAAAATACCCGAACAAAGCCGAATACCATAAATGTAAGTACCCGCGAAAACTTAAAACACACACACACACACACACACACACACACACACAGAGTACATATATATGTATGTATGTATGTATGTATGTATGTATACATACACATACACACACATATAAATGTGCAGTTTTGCACATTTGGGAGGTTCTGGAATGAGGTGGGCATTAGCTTTCAAAAACTAGATAGGTTTGAAGGATACTGTTTATTAGGATCCATTCAACTTCAAGTTCACATCAGATTTAGATACTCTGTTATCCTGGATGATGTAAGAAGATGGATGGATAAGTGCAAACGTGTTAATTCTTCAGGACCTATGGAGACAATTCTTTGTCTTCATATGGCTTCTAAAAAGTGCAGTTCCCCAAAAAAGCAAAAACAATTCAGCAGCAAAGATAACTAGATTATTATTAAAAATATGGACTATTCATAGGAGAAAGCACTGCAATTTCAAAATAACAAGTACCATAAAATTACAAATACAGATGTAAAAGAGGCTGGGAAAATAATTATAGAAGGCAGTAAAAAGTAAAGTAGTGGTTTATAATGAGCCACACTCACTAATAAATAAAGAATCTCAACTATCTGGTCTAAGTACACTACTGAAGATAGTAATTCATATATTCTGCAACAAAACACAGTTAAGCTTCTGAGTACTGTAAATAAGATGGAGGTAGACAGAATAGAAAAAAAATTATTATCCATTCTCCTGCCCAAACACTACAATGGCAGGTATTTCTGGGGCTTGAGAAACATCGAAGGGCTCCCTAAGCACATTGAATATAAGATTGTAAGATTATTATATTCTTTCAACGTACAATTCTACCCTTCAAGCCTTTTAAGAATCGAAAGCTTTCTGAAGATATTTCTCATTAACCACATGGGTTTTTAAAGATCATGGCATTTCTTGCCTACTAAAAAGTAGAGCCCAAACCTAAGCTGAGGGCTTGAACAATGCTAGGAAAATGGCACAATATCATAATATTGGCTGTCAATAAAAGATAATGCAAGTGCTTAGCCAAGCTGAAAGTCTGGTCTAATTAAGCCTATATCCTCAGAACAAGGAAGGCAGATGTAGGTAGATGGAGAGGACAAAATGTCGAAAAAGTTGAAACAAAAGACAAAAATACAATCCAATCCTATAACACGCCTCCCACTGGACTAAAAAAGAAATGCTGGATATGCAGGAAGCAGTAAAGATTACACTAGAAACAATTATTTTTGCCATTAAATCTCCCTTTAGTGTAATCTCAATGTAACATACCTTCCCTAAAAATCCAAATACCTTAAAACTAATATTTTGAGAAAGGTAGATTTATTGTTACAAAAAAACTAAAAGGTTTTTCACACCTTTTCTGGACTCTATCTCCATCTTTCCAAGTGGGGTATATCTCATCCTGCTGTACTAAATCAGTACTAAATCTACTTCCCATAAATTGAGAAAAGAAACAAAAAATTGCCAAATCATTAAATTATATGGTAGTGGTGGAAGAAGAAATTAAGGCCACCAACCAATAAAAAATAAAGGCAAAAGCTGAACTCAAAACACGAAATAATGGATCATGGACATTCCCACAGACACAAAAGGTGCCCAATCTTTTGTTTCCTAATCTTCAGAGGTACATAGCAGCATTTCTACATTATACCTCATGTAATTACAGCTTCCAAAAGGTCTTTATATTAATGAATTTGATTGCTCTGCCCCTCTACTGGAACATGGGTATTTTAATGCCATATCTGGAGTGGCTGCTATATGTCTAGTTTAATGAAAAGGACTAGGGGGTGACATGATAGCAGTGTTCCAATATCTCAGAGGTTGCCACAAAGAAGGAGTCAAGCTATTCTCCAAAGAATCTGAAGGCAGGACAAGAAGCAATGGGTGGAAACTAACTAAGGAGAGACGCCACCTAGAACTAAGGAGAAATTTCCTGACAGTTAGAACAAATAATCAGTGGAACAATTTGCCTCGAGAAGTTCTGAATGCTCCAACACTGGAAGTTTTTAATAAGAGATTGGACAACAATTTGTCTGAAATGGTAGAGGGTTTCCTGAGCAATGGGACAGCAGTTTTTCTCAGCAGGGGATTTCCTAAGCAGGGATTTGGTGTAGAAGACCTCCAAGGTGCTTCCAACTCTGTTATTCAAATAAGAAGCAAAACAAATTGAGATCCCCGACCCTTCATTATATAGTGGCTACTTCAATTACCTCTGAATATTACTACATTAAATACTCAAAGAGCACAGTGTTGATTTTAGTAAGCCACTCTATTCAATCCGCCAAGAACTGACAAAAGGATACAATCTAGTCATTTCGATACAGAATCAAGTCTAGAATTGCAATTTAGATTTATTGGTGTTTCATTTCAATTCCCTGGTATATGTTTTGATCTATTAATAATATACTCTAACACGTTTTACATACTGATAAGCCATGGAGCAAGACCATAGATGTAAATATTTGATTATAGGTGCTTCTATCTGTGGTGTTCATGTCTGATAGATTCACATAATATACGACTGTTATGCACATTGCCTAGTTTATTTTCTATACTGATTTTCAAGTCGACATGTGAGAAAAAGATATATAGACCGGTGAATGATATAAAATTGTACCTTTGATTGGTACTGGATGTAACTATCTACAATATATCAGGTTGCTATGCCATATTCCAAGCAAAATAAATGGCAAAAATACAACAAAAATAACAAGGGTTAGCTATGAAAGAAGTCTAAGTGAGCAGATGTACCTCTAAAATAGAATGTGAAAATGTTGCCTAAATGCATACTATTGTACTATTGTTTGAATGCATTACTAGATTTGTTGGAGAGGTAGGAGGGTGGATGGGTGGGGGGAAGTTAATATTTTGCACCACCTACTGGAGAGAATGAACGATTATTTCTTTATGATAGAAGGAAACTGACAGATTTTTTCCAGGCTGCAGCACTATATATATTTGACTGGAAATGTCACACAAAATCACCTTCTCAGTTTTCTAATTTACAAAATGTTGTAACTACTCCATGGATTTATAAATCATAACATCTTAAACCTTAATTCTTTTATTGTAAATCTAATCAAAACTGAGGTTCCAAAATCAAGCAAAATATATATATTCGCCATCTCCAACAAACACTACATATATTCCACTATTTATTTACTGCTCATATCCTTCTGGATTACAAGTTCTATAGGGACCTTCAACACCATTTAATTACTCCTCTTTTATTTAAATTTCCGTGGCACTGGTAGCTTTTATTTGCACTGTTAAACACTGTTTTCTGTTAAACAAGTAAGATAAAATGTATTTCTCTAACGTACCAAACTTTTCTTAAGTTATGTATAAACTTTGTGCACAAGTGTTTAGTAACAGTTCTTGTTGTTAGGAGATAGTTTTGTGTTGTTCATTTTATTGATTGTACTTTTATTGGTCAAGGACTGAAAAAAAGTTTCTGTCTGGCTACAAATGATGAATAAATCACTCAATAGCCATTTATTTACTGCAAGATTAGGCAGCCTGATATGATGAATAGACTGTCAATCTCTGACTAATGTCTGCCATTTCATCAAAAAGTCTCATCATAAGATGCCAATAATCATATATTAAAAAGTTCAAATAAAGTCAGGCAACCTGTTAGTTTTTCTGTGTAGTGCCACAAAAATGTAATAAAAGATCAATAACTCCCAAACCTTACATTCCATTCTAGGACAGGAGAATATCAATGTCTACAAAACAATAAAATGAAAGTTGGAAATGGATAAAGCTTATATCAATTGAAAAAAAGGAAATATGCAGGAAGTATTTTATATAATCTTGAATAAATCTAAAAATGCTTAGTGGGATTACAGTTAATTCTGTCTATCCACAGATGGAATGGAAATCACTGGATCCGCTCTCTTTTCTGGGGCATTGAGGGGTTATCTGAAGTAAATTTTGGGAAAGTAGAACAAGTCACATTTCCATAACGTTAATGAAAATTACAGAAAACAAGCAAAAAGGGTTTTATAAAGGCAAGAGTATTATATTGGTTAGTTTTAAAGGATAGGGTTTTTTTATGAAGTATAAAGCCACAACACAAAGCTAAAGTATAATATGGTAAGATAAAAAGATTTATTAGGAAAAAGAAAAGATTACAGTCAAAGACTCAAGAGGAACAGTTTAACTGTTGGAAAGACAATCAATCAAGAAATAAGTTTAATCAGCTTGAAGATAATGCCACATATCTGCAGCTCCCAAATTACATAAACCAAACAGTGGCTTTTATCAGCAAACAAAATTTTGTTAGCACAAACAGAAGATTTTTTAAAATGAGGTATCTGATCCCCAGAAATGTTTCTACAAGTGAAACAAAACTTACTGTACACAACGAAGTCTTCCTGACTGTCAAAATAAAGTCAGATGAAAATTCCAATTCTGGAACTGAGACAGCATGGCAGTCTATTCGCTGCAAGGTAGAACAAATATGAGTTTCAGGACCAAACAAAAGAAAGTCATATATGGATTTTGGAATGGCTGATAACTATTTTAACTTAATTCAATCTTACAAGTTTTACAGTAGAGTTCTCAGTCCTCCCAGATGGAACAATTCTATGGGAGGAGTGTAAGATGCACAAATGCACCATCAGGGACACCTGGAAAAAAGTGCTAAACACCAAAGACTCCCCTCCCCTCCCCCTTTGTATCAAAAGCATTTATCTCAGCAAAACTTGTTATTTGTAAGATCGATATATAATTATATGTGTGAACTCAAGCCAATAATACATAATTTTGCTCTCAGTTTTGAGTTTAGGACTATTAATTGCTTTTTTAATTGCTGCTCTCCAACACTGTGTGGTGAATGACTTTTGAAAATGCTAAAAGTAGCTTGCAATGCAGTTTGCATAACTTTAAAAACCCTCCGTGCTGAGTAAGGATCAGAAGATACCCTTTTTCCCATTGCATTATTCATTGCTTCATATCTCAGTGATATGTTGGATTGTTAACTTTTCTTTAAAAAACAACAACCCTTTTAACATTTCCCTTATTTTAACAGGTCTGTCTCATAATGTGGTACCTAGAAGTTGGCCTTCTCAATGGTGGCACTCCAGTTATAAATGCCCTTTCTCTTGAGGTAAACTCATTTAGTTTCTTTTCCATTGTGTTTTAAGCAACAAATGAACACATGCCTGTCTTCTCTAGTTTTTGCAGGGCAACTATTACTCCAAGGCCAGTCTTCCTTTCCAAAATAAAATTTCTTTTAATTGATGTATTTCAATTTTTGTTGCCTTGTTTTATGACAGAATTTTTTAAAAAATATACACAACTCTTAGTTTGGGTACACTGTAAAAATATGTTTTTTTAAACTTCAATATATGTGAAAATAGTATAAATGATTTAAGATAGAAGTGAATCATGAAAATTGAGAGTTGTTATATTTTCTCTCAAAGTGTACAGTGAAAATAACAATTCTTCCACTGTAAAAAATAGAATACCTTTCCAATAACAAACAAAAATGGCCTAACCAAATAAATAATCCATTTTTCCAGTTAAGATAAGGATGAAACAATGATTATGAGACTCAGACTAAATACTTACACCTAATATTTCATATAGAAGACATCCTAAGACTGGAACAAACTACCAGAAGCTTGAAATCTATCCTTGAGTATTTTCAAGAAGAGACTAATATTTATTATATATCTATAATGGAGCCAGAAAATCTATTCTCCTCTTTATAGCACAGCAATTCTATTATACTCATTCAGTTTACAAATGATGTTCAGCAATTGTTCAGCCCATAAAATAAAAATATCCTTGAAAATGTACCCAGTTCAGTCTTGCATATTAACAGATTTTCATGAACGTAAATAGAGTATGACAAAGGCATTATTCATATTCACCCACATTTGACTGCTGAATGTATGTTCTTCGACATTGCATGATAAATAAAGCACATTTTTATAATTTCCTGGGTATTTCAAAATCACCATTTCTGGAAAGCTGCTATTAATCTTGGTTATTTGCTCATAATGACACCCTTGGTCAATTCTTTAGTTTTATCATACAGAAAAATAAGTTTAGAATGTAAACAATTATCTGAAAGCTTTTATCTACTGTGATTACATTCGGATATCTTCTCAGTTTTAAAACTACAACTTGGGTTTTTTTGTATCTGTTTTTTTGCTCTCTTTGAGTCAGTGTTGACTCAAAAGACTGTCTAGACTGGTCCCTGTATTTTTAACATGGTTTCAGAAGTGTTTTATCACTGCCATCTTCCTAGGGCTGAGAGCTAGTGAGTGGCCCAAGGTCAACCAGCTGACTTTGCTCAGGTTAGGACTAACATTCTCTTGGGTTTCTAACCTGATCCCTTAACCATCATACTAAACTGACTTTAAAGCATCTAAAATACAATTAGAGAATCCATCATCATAGGCATGATGATGGCATCACTTACCGGAACCCTAAACTACAGGATCCCTATTTTTCCAGAGGAATACATTTGAAACAAGGAGGTTTTGTATATACAGATAGTCCTCGACTTACAACCACAACTGAGCCCACAATTTCTGTTGCTGAGTGAAACATTTGTTAAGCAAGTGTTGCCCGCATTTTATGTCTTTTCTTGCCACAATTAAGTGAATCAGTGCAGTCCTTAAGTTAGTAACATGGTTGTTAAGTGAACCTGGCTTCCCCATTGACTTTGCTTGTCAGAAGGTCGCAAAAGGGGGATCCCATGACCCCAGGACACTGCAAAGGTCATAAATATGAGCCAGTTGCCAAGCGTCCAAATTTTGATCATGTGACCATGGGGAATGCTGCAATGGTTGTAATGGTTGAAAAACAGTCATAAGTCATTTTTTTCAGTGCCGTTGTAACTTCGAACGATCACTAAATTAACTGTTGTGAGTTGAGGACTACCTGTATTTGGAAAGTGCTAATAGATGAGATTCTGTAACTATAATTTGAAATCTGAGTGTCGTGCAACCTATTTTGATCAAGATGAGGTAGCGTTAGCAGCAGATCAGACTTTCTCACCCTAGCCATCACCCTGGATTTCAACTGCCATGAAATATAGTGCAGTGCAATATTGTGTCTTTCTTCTGTACTGTAACAGGAGAACCAAAGAAATGATCTTTCCTCCAAATCATTTGACAGCTTCAAAATGCAAATAAAGAAAATATTATCACGTTTTAGAAAGTTTAGTTTAGTTTAGTTTAGTTTATTGTCATTGCACCTCATACAACGAAATTAAATGCCATATTCAGTGTACATTATAACTATAAAAATAAAACACAAACACACATCCTTCACATTCTATACAATTGAACTGAAAACCCAATATTGAATTAATATCATACTACTACTAAGTAGTAGTGGTGATGTCTGCAACGAAACAACCAAGCTCAGAAAGCACCAAGGACTCTACAGTGACAGTGACTCCACAGCTATTTTCTAAGCATGTGAACATGAATATCTGCTCAGGAAAAATGGGGAAATGTTATTTTTTTTTCTACAAATATGTAAAATAGAAAATATTAATTAACCATAGCTCCAGAAAATATGGTTTGCTAATCGTATCAAGAGAGAGCTTGTGAAGAAAAGAGAAAGGAACACAGGGTTACGATGTCACTGTTTAAATTACGTAATAGGCCAGGGGTGTCAAACTTGCGTCATCATGGCAGTGTCATGTGACGTATCACAACTTTTCCCCCCCTTTGTTAAACCGGCCATGGGCATGGCCAGTGCGTAATGCATCCAGGCCACAGGCCACGAGTTTGACAGCCCTGTAATAGACCTTGGGTGAAATTACTGCAAATGAGCCCAGACATCTGTAATCAATAGTTGAGTGGCAGATAACTCTTATTCCCACCCACCCCCGACAGGGGATTAGGAAGCAAGGATGGAAACATACTATCAAAAGACTAAAACTCTACAGTGATAGTTCCGAAACTTAAACACCATGGACTTCATATTGCTATTGACCAAGAAACAAAAGTCACCATATTCATCTTCTATAATGACAGCTTTATATAAAGACAGTTCACAAAGAGAATAAACGAAACGCTATTTTTTTCAGAAGATGCTATGCTTTGTCACGATACCTTGATGATACAAGCTTCAGATATAAGAGTCCTCGAATCTAAGACTTCCACAACTGCTTCAGGCATTACCACCTTTTTCATGCAGGACATATTGAAGCCATATACATCATCCCAGAAAGTCAATTGATCGGTATGCTTAGCGATATCACTTACGGCCACCAGGCTAATGGTACACGAGTCAGGATACACTGCAATCAGATAAATGATTCAATAGTGAGGACTGTGCAGGAGCAAATTCTGTACCAAATGCTGTTAAAAGCCAAATGCTGTTAAACATGCTGGAGGAAAACAAAACATCTAAATTCAGCAATTCTACAGCTACATCTCTGAAATAAGATTCTCTAGGACTAAAAAAGACATGCGCTTCGATGAAAGGTGAACAAAAAAAGCTGTAAAAATTGTAGGATATTCTTTTGCTGGGATATGAAAGGGGAGGAGAAGAGCCTTCAGTCTACCAGAGATATAACCAAAACATAGAGTATAAAAGAGCAAATACAAACTTTGAACTGGTATACAGGTAGTCCTCAACTTACAGCAGTTCATGTAGTGACCATTCAAAGTTACAACGGCACTGAAAAAAGTGACTTATGACCATTTTTCACAGTTACAACCTTTGCAGCATCCCCATTACCACGTGATCAAAATTTGGACATATGGCAACTGGTTCATACTTATCACCCTTGCAGCATCCCAGGTATTCTGTTCTGAGAAAGCGGCAGGGAATAACAAGGCGAGATAAGCTAATCGGTTGCCAACGGTTTATTAATGCTAACAGAGAACAGCTCAACTGACTGTACGGCAACAACAAATAGGGCATCTGTCAACTCTTATATACTGGCTGCTCTGGCAAGGCAGCCAATCAACTCTCAGGATAGAGTCCTCTGTCTCCTCCGGACTGAAGACTTTGGACACGACACCAGGTGCAAGCAAAGTCAATGGGGAAGCTAGTTTCACTTAACAACCATGTTACTAACTTATGAACTGCAGTGATTCTCTTAACAACTGTGGCACAGGACAGAGTGCAAAAAGGTACTAGACAGCTAAGTCAGTAATAGCAGAGGAATCTCCAAAGGGACCTCTCCTACAGATCTTAAGGCCCATACAGGTTTGTAAAAGGAGAGGTGGTATCGTAGACCGGTATTTTTCAACGTTAGCAACTTTAAGATGTGGGGACTTCAATTCATTACATGCTGGGGAATTCTAGGAGTCAAAGCCCATTCATCTTAAAAGTTCCTAAGGTTGAGAAACATTGTCTTAGGCAGTCGAAGTTTGTGCTCCTTCAGGATTTGTGATTATGAACTTTATGTGATTATGAACTTTAGAGAAATATTTGACAACCAGTGTAGATTTTTCAGGTATTATCATCTTGTTTTTCTTGTACCATCTAGCAGGTTGGTTGTCCCATTTTGTGCCAAGGGCAACAGTCTAGATCAGGGCTGTCAAACTCCTGGCACACGGGCTGGATGCATCACACGCTTGCCATGTCCACGCCCAGTTTAGCAAAGGGGGAAAAAATCTAGATATGTCAGTTTGACGCCCCTGTTCTAGATATTGAGATCAAAAATCCTAAAGGGCATTGAAATAGGCAGATTTGTTGTATCTATTTATAATCAATATACTGAATATGCTATAGTCTTGATGCTTATTCAGAACATTTGGAGGCAGTAATCAACATTACAGGATGAACAATTAGATACATATTCTTTCCTAGTAAAATAATTAAAGAAACTGGATTTCCCAAAAATGGGAGAAAAAAGCCCCAAAGCCTTTCAAGAATTCAATATTTTATTCTGAAAGAAAGGGGATATTATTCTCACGTACCAAAAAAAAAAAAAAAGTTAACCAATGCAGTTGAAACAAATCACTAGGTCTGCACAGCTGACTGCCACATTGACATAAAACATACTTTACAGGGGAATGTTATTTCTTCTACAAAGTTGCTGACTTTGTGGCTTACACTTGACTTCTTATATTCCAACTTTCCAGGCCTGTTCCTGGATTATCAACAACATCCCTCATCAAGTACTGACAAAATGATTTGACTCCAGCTGCTTTAAACCAATTATGGTGCAATATATAGCAAGTGTTACATAAGAGTATTTCCAAACAGAACATCAGGGGTGGGATTCTACTGGTTCGGACTGGTTCTATAGAACCGGTTGTTATGATTCTGTGCAGTTCGGAGAATCGGCAAATAGCGCCCTCTCCACCCCCCTCCCCTCCCCGTCAGTCCTTATCACGCATGTGCGGCATTGCACACATGCCCGACAACGCTGACTGTGTTCTCCCCTGCCCAGTCACTCCTTAAGGTATTTCTTCCCCCCCCCTCCTAATGATCAGTTGTGCTGGGATCCCCCTCGCTATCTTACTGCTTCACCCAGGCTTCCCTAAGGCCCCGGAGGCAAAAAGGGGTGCGTGCGTGGGGGGGTGTTGCACCCTCCTAGCCTCCGTTTTTTGCCTTCCTCGGTCCAGGGACGCCTTCTGGGAGCAAAAACGCCCCCCCAGGAGGCTTCCCTGAGGCCCAGAAGGAAAAAAATGGGGGCCCCTGCAAAAAAAGGCACGCCCACCCAGTCACATGGCCACACCCACCTAGCCATCCCCACAGAACCGGTTGTTGAAAAATTTGAATCCCACCCCTGCAGAACATACATGTTAATTTGCAAATGTTGATGCCAGGATTAGCATTTAAATCCAATAGAAAAGAAATAGAAATAGAACAGACAATCAAATACATAATATAAAATCAAATATAGACTATAGAATAGAACAGAATAGAATATTTATTGGCCAAGTATGGTTGGACACGCAAGGAATATGTCTCTGGTGGATATTAACTCCTATTACTATTACTAATATTATTACTACATCACTCCTACTGCTATTTTTACTCCAATGGAGTATTAACAGGCTGATCCATATTATAAACCTTGTAATCATTATAGAAAATGTCTCAACTGTGCCCGCATTGTCCCAGCCAAGGTCAGAAATGACCATGATCCTGTTATACCTTCACAGTTTCTAGAAGGCCTGGTTCTTTCTTCCCAGACATTGGGTCAGAATGCAGTATGAAACTGCCTAGGTGTGTGCTTGGAGTGCACTATCCCAGGTTGTTTTGTAGTATGACATTTCTGATCCTATGCAGGGATCCTTGGTGCTCTTTGAGCTTGGTTTTCTTGCATACATTTCATTATCCAAACTCAGAGAGCACCATGGACCCCTCATTTCAGCCCCAAGCTACAGTATAAATATTCTCCTTTATTTATTAATCCTATGCGAACTGTGCAAAACACTTAGGTGAATGGCATTAAAAATGGAAGGAAGAAACAATTAAACAAGTAGGGTAACGGCAAGCCTAACAAAAAAGCTATAGCTAACTGCTGAACTGCAAAAAACCTGGATGACCATTAAATGGCAGCAGAGATACAGGTATACCAGGGGTGTCAAACTTGCATCATCATGGCGGCATCACGTGATGTATCACTTTCCCCCCCTTTGCTAAACCGGGCATGGGCATGGCCAGCACATGATGTATCCAGCCCACGGGCTGGGAGTTTGACACCCCTGAGGTATACAATTATGCCATTTAATGTCAGTGCAGAATTTTTCCAAATTTTAGAGAGAGTTCATTTATTTGACTATTTGCAGGAAACAAATCTTGAACTACATCAGTTTTAGTTTGGTCTAGTGGTTAAGGCATCAAGCTAGAAAGCAGGAGGCTGTGAGTTCAAATTCTGACTTAGCCATGAAAGCCATGGTGACTTTCAGCCAGTCATTCTCTCTCAACCCAACCCACTTTACAGGGTTGTTGTTCTGTGGAAAATAGGAGGGGGAAAGTGTGTTGGATATGTTTGCCACCTTGAGTTATTTGTAAAAATAATAAAGGTGAGATACAAATAAATGAAATGTGTGTGTGTGTGTGTGTGTGTGTGTGTGTGTTAAATCCTTCATCATTCTGTAGACAGGTAATTCTTACAGTGAAAAAAAAAGAAACAAATGCATATTTGCAAGGTTGCCTTTTTAAGGCACTCTGAAGTGCATGTTCTAATATTACAGTTATCTAGATCTGTTGTTTGACCAACTCATTTTTAAATGGCTAATGATTTTAAAAATGCCAAGGAAAGCAAAAGTTGGGGCAGTTTTTTTATTTACTCTATCTTAACAGTATAGCCCAATAATGTTTCACTGTAATCTCACTTTTTAAAAACTGCTCATAGAAAAGATCCAGTGCAATGGAAGGTATTTTCCTTAGTCTTCTAAAAAGAGAGGAAAGGGTTTTGACATATTCTGAACGTGTCACTTCACTGATAAGCTGGATTCAGTCCTTAAGCCTTGCAATTTATAAAAATAAGGGAAAAGGAAAAGCAAGGAAAAAGTAAAACTCCTTTAATTCTGGGTTAATCTATCATTTTTTTTTACCCGATTGAATTATTTCTCAACATAGGTGATACAAAACTGCTGATCAGACATAGCAGGACAGTGCACTCTAGCACTGGTATGGATTTGTCATCTGTGTCCTTCTCGATTCACTGCCTCCAAATCATTTGTCAGTAGTAACAGCTCACACTGAGAACAAAGTAAGATGGGGAAATCTTTGATCCCTCAGCAATGTGGTAAAAAGGTAAAGAACTGCAAAACCGAAGCATTGTTGGAAGCAAACATCCTTTAAAGGTGGGAAAGCGACTACAATCAATCACTCTTTCATGTAATGCTTTTGCTTTGGAGAAAATTTTTTTGCAAGCCACAGCTTAAATGTATTTTACAGAGAGGTCCTTTGTGCAACTTGAGGGAGGTGAGCAGGAGATATTGAAGTGACATAGTGCTGCTATGTTAATACAGTCATAATAAATTGTCAGCTGGCTATAGTACACCAGTATGCTGTTTTCAGTAAGAAAAGAAAAATATAGGAGGAAAGAAAAAAATACAACACAGAAGGTAGATTTCCTTTCTTGCTATTTTTCTTTAAAGTTGCTTAAAGTCAATGTGCAAGAAGAAATAATACAATACTTTTTCTGAAAAAATAAAAAGGCATAAAAGCAATTGCTTAAAATGGAAAGTATCCAGGATAGTACTTTTGAATTGTTTGCCAATGAGTTTCTGGGGGGAAATCAAAGGGTTGGTTGTTACCCATTAAGTCGCTCAGGGTTTGTATCTGAGGCAGTAGTCCTCCTACACTTTACTCCTACACTGT